TGGGTTATCCCTGTCCCAGGCACTCCCTGGAACTCTCTGGAATATGAGGTTCCTCTCATATCCATTTGGCGTATGACCATGGTTCTCTGGCTGACCAGTTTTTAAAAAATACTCTGTGAAATATTATTTTTCCTTTTTAAAAAAAAAATTTAGGCCAGACACAGTGGCTCACGCCTGGAATCCCAGCACTCTGGGAGGCTGAGACAGGCGGGTAACCTAAGGTCAGGGGTTCAAGACCAGCCTGGCCAACATGGTGAAACCCTGCCTCTACTAAAAATACAAAAATTGTGGGCCGGGCATGGTGGCTCAAGCCTGTAATCCCAGCACTTTGGGAGGCCAAGGCGGGTGGATCACGTGGTCAAGAGATCGAGACCATCCTGGTCAACATGATGAAACCCCGTCTCTACTAAAAATACAAAAAATCAGCTGGGCATGGTGGCGCGTGCCTGTAATCCCAGTTACTCAGGAGGCTGAGGCAGGAGAATTGCCTGAACCCAGGAGGCGGAGGTTGTGGTGAGCCGAGATCGCGCCATTGCACTCCAGCCTGGGTAACAAGAGCAAATCTCCGTCTCAAACAACAACAAAAATACAAAAATTAGCCAGGCATGGTGGTGTACCTGCCTGTAATCCCAGCTATTCGGGAGGCTGAGGCAAGAGAATTGCTTGAACCCAGGAGGTGAAGGTTTCAGTGAGCCAAGATTGCACCATTGCACTCCAGTCTGAGCAACAGAGTGAAAATGTGTCTCAAAAGAAAATTTTTTTTATATGAAATGCTTCATGAATTCGCATGTCACCCTCCCCGCAGGGCCATGCTAATCTTCTCCGTATCATTCCAATTCTAGTATACATGCTGCCAAAGCAAGCATGAAATATTATTTTTCGAAAGAATTAGAACCCAAGAAAATACATTTAACTCGACTGCACTAACACATTCTGGTGTTTGGCAGGTCCGCAGGCCACCCTTTATAAACACTGACTCCCCCATTTGTAACCAAGACCGCTCAGACCACCATGGGTCAGGGAAGGTTACATTCATCCACCCATCTACACTGGCCCCAGTCTCCACTCGCCAGATCAAGAGCACTGTGGCTGCCCTTTCCAGGAGAACCTGCAGAGAGTAAATTGTGACAACACTTCACTGAAGGCACCAGATAGCAGGAGAGTTTAACTCCAGCCTAACTCAGAATTGATGCCTGCTCGCCTGGCTTGCCACTGAGAGCCACAGGCTGCTCTCCCCTGCGAAGCAGTGGGGAGTAGCAAGTGTGTTCTAGTCCTTGAAGTCCATATGGCAATCCCTGGGCCCAGAGACAGGGCAACACCAGGGCTCCCCAGCCTTCCCAGCCTCCCCAGCACCCTCCCACTCTCCACTTCCTGTCCCGGCCTCTGCCTCTCCCTGCATAGTTGGCAGGTGGAATGTCCGCTTCTTTCTGAAGAAACTCCATCCTCTATCCACCAAAAGGAACATCACATAAAAATACCAAGATCTGATGTCATTCATTTTTCCAAATTTAGGGGTTTAGTTGAAAGTAACACCACCCTAGTTAAAGGCATCAGCCTAGTTCAAGAGCCCGATCGGCTCCCTGGGTCCCCTTCCCCAGAGACTTCTCAGCATTTGGAGAGGATGAGACCCTCCTGTCTTCTTCCTCGGTGCAGCCCAGAAAAGGGCGGGAGAGGAAACACCCATCACCCATCTCCCGTGTTCCAAGTGTGTGTAAGCACCAGCACTCAAACCTGGGCAGTGAGCCTAGAATCCTCACTACACAAGCATGAAACAGAAGCAGGTGTTCTGAGAAGCAGCACTGTGATCAAAGGCACAGATGAGACAGCAAGTCGAAGAGGAAAGTGGGCCGACAGGAGTGCCTGGGTAACTCGGCTCGCTCTGAGCACCAAGGTAATGAACGCCATCACTGCCTTCGACCCAGAGGAGGGACCCTGTCCTTGGCCTACCCCCTGCCTACCCCTGTAGAGAGTACGGGGGCCACTGGCATGTGCCCACAGCTCCTAGATGGCACTCAGCCCTCAGACCCCAGGAATCCCTGTCCAGACCTCCCCAAACCTCTTTCTAGGGCCCCTTCCTCCCGCAGGATGGCGTGGGATGGCTGTGGGTGGAGGAGGACTGATGTCCCCACAGGCATGTACAGGAGACCCGTCCCTGTGTGGGACAGAATGGGAGGTGGGCCGAAAGGCAGCTGTTGAAAGTGAGGACTGCAGACTGAGACCAGCCCCTACTGCCATGCCCTGATGCCAATCAACGAGGAGTCCAAGAATTCTACCAATTTCTTTTTCTTTTTCTTTTTAAGACAGGGTCTCACTCTGTCACCCCAGCTGGAGTGCAGTGGCAACGATCATAGCTCACCGCAACCTCCGCCTCCCTGGATCAAGCAATCAATCCTCCCACCTCAGCCTCTGGAGGAGTTGGGATTACAGGCATGTACCGCCACGCCTGGCTAATTGTTTAATTTTTTGTAGAGACAGGGAGCTCATTATACTGCCCAGGCTGGTCTCCAAGTACTGGGCTCAAGCAATCCTCCGTCAGCTTCTCAAAGTGTTGGGATTATAGACATGAACCACTGTGCCCAGCCTAGCCCGAGGATGTTAAACTGGAACCTGGCTTTCCAGATACCACAGGACATTTTTTAAGAGAATGTGTCCTCTACACCTTTTTAAAGTTTGGTTTGTGGCTTGTGTGCATTTGGACACACCACATCACAAACAGCCTCACCCAAGGGGAGTGAGGGCCACGGAATGGGAGGACAGGAGGCCCAGGAATGCCCCAGGCAAGGCTGACAGGGTCAGGGCTTCAGCTGCTGGCTCCCAGCAGGGGGTGACCACACACACCAGGGAAGTCAGGGCTGGGGTTCAAAGAGAGGCCAAGGCTGCTGAGAGACTAGGAACCATTTTGGGAAAGAAACATGAAGTCAGGTTTTGCACAACAGAACTGTCCCCACCAGCCAGGGAGGTCTTGGTTCATTCTTCAGGGAATCTCTTGTGTCCTGCGGGGCCCGCCTCTGATGGGAAGGAAGGGAGACAAGCTTTGCAGGGGAAGGTTTCCTCCCAGTCTCCTCACTCCTCCAACACAGCGTTTCTCCAGACAAAGTCCATTCCACTGGCACCAATCCCCACAGACAGCGCAGAGCAAGCAGGAGCCCAGAAATCAGCAGGTCAGCTTCTCCCTTGTCAAATCCAAGTGACAACGGACTTCCTGAAGCCACGCTGACACCTGCTTGCTGGCTCAATCAGACCCTCGGACTTAAATTCCAGACCAAAGACTAGCACTGAAAGGGTGGCTATTTCAGCAAGGACCAAAACTTCTAAACTAGACACTTTCTTTTAAACCACTTGATAGCTGCATTTATTTTTTTTTCTTTTTCTTCTCGCCATCCCCCTACCCCCAGATGGAGTCTCAATCTGTCACCCAGGCTGGAGTGCAGTGGCGCCATCTCGGCGCACTGCAACCTCCACCTCCCGGATTCAAGCAATTCTCCTGCCTCAGCCTCCTGAGTAGCTGGGATTACAGGCACCCGCCAGCACACCTGGCTAATTTGTGTATTTTTAGTAGAGATGGAGTTTCACCATGTTGGACAGGCTGGTCTCGAACTCCTGACCTCGTGATCCGCCTGCCTCAGCCTCCCAAAGTGCTGGGATTACAGGCGTGAGCCACAGCGCGCCGCCGATGGCTGATTTCTTACAGAGACCAAAGCTGGAGAAAGGGCTCTTTCAGGGACGCACAGGCCCTCCGCTCTCGGGCTCCCCACACTAGATGGGTTAAGCTAGCATTCGTTGGAGTCAGTAATTAAGCAATGGAGGCAAACAGCCTAAATAGAGGTGTTTGAGGACTCAGGAGAAGGTGGCTGGGTAATTTCAGGCTCAAAGTTTGAAAGGGGATCTCGGGGGCTGGGCTGTGGCCCTCTCATCATAGCCACACGCCTGTGTAGAGAGGTGTGGGGACCCACAAGGAGGCAGAGGAGCAGCACTGGGGTGAAGAGAGCAGTGGGAAGGCGGGGACCCAAGGGTTAAAAAAAAAAAAAATCCTACATTTGGAAACATTTGCAAAACTCCAGAAGAAAAACTTTTAAAAGTTCTCCAGTCCCAAACACAAACATGCACACACACAATTAGGATTTTCCCACAGTTTTCATCTATCTGAAAAGAAACTGCCAGTGCCAATTACAGAACATCGTCTCTTCCTCCCGTGGGGCGTTTCCACGGGCCTGGGAGGGGACGCAGAGGCTACCCCGAAGGTCCCAGCCTGAAGCGTTCACGCGAGGAAACTCCCGTAAAAGCCCTGATGCACGCACATTGTGACTGCACAGGCCACAAAATCCCGCACTTTGGAGTCTGAAAGGCTGTCGGTGGTCCCCTAGGACAACTTCTTCCGTTAACAGAAGAGTCCGCTGAAGCGCAGAGCTAACAGAAAACAGCCGGAATTAAAATCCAAGTCACCCGGCCCGGCATCGGCGGTCATTCCCTTCCACCACACAAAACTGGCCAGGAAGAGGGACTTTTGCGCGCCCTCCCAGACCGAAGCGCATTTCTTCGCTAATGCGCGAGAGGGAGGCTGCGTAGACCCGGCGCAGGGGGTGTTCATTTTCGGATCCAGCCCTGTACGTAGTCACTTCAGCTAAGCCCCGTTTCAAAGAGGTGGGGGTAGTCAGAGCGGAAGGGCCCCTGTCTCTCCGGAGACGGAAACAGCAGGATCGGGAGGCCCTAAGTATTTGTGCCCAGGGTGCGGCTGGAGGACAGAGGTCAGAGACCCCGAAAAGTTCCACCGCCGCGCCCCACGGCCGTCTCCCCACTGGGCTGGACACAGCACGCGCGGCTACAGGGCTCCCGGGAGCCGCGCTGAGACCCCGCGGGCCACGTCGGCTCCGCCGCCCGGACGCCCTGGCCCGACTCGCGTCTCCCTGGGGCAGGGCACCGCGAGGGGCAGCAAAACGGTGGTGGGGGCAGGCTTCGGGGTCCTTTCCCTCCTCCCCGTCCGCCTGGGGCTCGTCCTTTTCCGCCCGGTTCCAGGCAAGGGTCTCCCGACTGGCGCGCCCGCGAGTCCTCACTCGGCTGCTGCTGGCCGGGCAGCGGCGTCGAGCGGGGGCGGTGGGGCGGGGCTCGCGGCCATTGGCGGGCGGCGGGACGGGGGCGGGGGCGTGGAGGGTTGGTCCCGGGGCGCCGGGGGCCGGCCGCAGTCGTTGCCTTCATCCACAGAGCCAGTGTCCAGCGCAGAGCCGCGCTAGCGATGAGGGAGATCGTGCACATCCAGGCGGGCCAGTGCGGGAACCAGATCGGCACCAAGGTGGGCCGGGCGCGGCGCTGGGTTTCCCCGCGGTTGGGCGGCTGGCGGGCCCCGGGTCTCCTGGTGAGACCCCCTGGCGGGGCGCGCACCCGCTCCGCCGACCCGGGTCCTCCGAGCCGGATGCGGACCCGCGCGGGCCGCAGTCAGGGAGCGCCCAGGGCGTGGCTGGCCAGGGACCCTGTACCCCTCGCTTCCCACCCCCACCCCAGCTGGGAGCGGCCGCCGGCTAAGGCGCGCCTGGAATTCGGCCGCCCGGGAGCCCGGGGTGGGCGCGGGTGGGGACACCCCGGGCTCTGAGTTCTGAGCGTCTGTTTCCCCGCCTTGCCCTGCCCAAGTTTTGGGAAGTGATCAGTGATGAGCACGGCATCGACCCTGCCGGAGGCTACGTGGGAGACTCGGCGCTGCAACTGGAGAGAATCAACGTCTACTACAATGAGTCATCGTGTGAGTAGCGCTGCCGCCGCGCCCTGCCCGGCCCGGATCCGCGTGGACGCTCGGGCGCCGCTTCAGGAAAAGTAATCCCGGGATGTAGCAGGATGCCCGGCCACTCCCTTCGCTCCTCCGGGGCGGGAAATCCGCTGTCAGTTTATTCAAACAGCTGGATTCGGCCTATCCCGAGATCTGAGCGCTTGAAAGGGACCACCCGTTAGTGTTCTGAAATCAACGCAGCAGTTCCTGCCCAGCCAGCCTTCTCTGTCTAGCCGGGCGCGGTGGCTCACGCTGTAATCCCAGAGCTTTGGGAGGCCGGGACGGGAGGATCATTTGGGCTCAGGAGTTCGAGATCAGCCTGGGCAGCATAGGAAACGCCCCCTCACCGCCACCTCTACAACAATTTTTAAATTAGCCGGGCGTGATGGTGCGCACCTGTAGTCCCAGTTACTGAGAGCTTGAGCCCAAAAGGTTGAAGCTGCAGTGAGTTGTGATCGTGCCACTGCACCCCAGCCTAGGTGACAGAGCAAGACCCTGTTATAATAAATCAGAGCGTTTTTTTTTTTTAGAAAAACAAAGCCTTTTTTTTCCAGTTTAAAATGTATTTCTTATTGGGGATTCTTGGCTAAAAATTTGAAAAATGCTGTCCTAAGTGACTTTTGTGGTCCCTTGCAGACCTCCCAGGAAGTTGAAACTGCAGGCAGTTCTGAGCAGCTAGTGGAGTTTGGTAAAATTTCCAGGCTGCGGTTTTTATCCAAGTTTAGAAATAATATCATTCCTGTCCTGAATATCTACATACATGTATTGGAACTATACTTATACATTAATTCAATAATTTTTATTATAAAAGCAGTGCATGTCCTTCACAAAACAACAAAAAACAAAGACATAGAACACCCAGAAAGTGACAGGTGCTACCCTTGCTCACACATGCGATATCTCCCGGGAGATATGCTTTTGGTTTATTGGAGTCTCCGCTTTGGAGACAGTTTCTGCTTGTCCACACAAGAGCTGGGAAGTGCAGTTTTATTCATTTAAGCAATAATGACATCAAGTAATGGAAGATGAAATTTCTAGAGGACATTAAGGACAATTCCAGTATATACTGCACTTCCTGGTAACCAGTCGGCCCAGCTTGGATGCATTCATTTTCTTTTTTCTTTTTTTTTGTATTTTTAGTAGAGACAGGGTTTTGCTATGTTGGCCAGGCTGGTCTTGAACTCCTGGCCTCAGGTGATCCACCTGCCTCAGCCTCCCAAAGTGCTGGGATTATAGGCATGAGCCACTGCACCCAGCCTGGTACATCCATTTTCAATCTGGTTATGTGCACTGCAGGACAGGAGTTGACGAGTAGGTCCTATCTGGAATCATATTAACCTTGTCCTCACTGGCAACAAGTTCTAGCCCAATTGGCATGAAAATGACACACAAGAACACTCTGACTCAAAATGAGAATGACTCTGGGGAAACAGAGCCAGTGGAGTGCTCCCAGTAGCAAGGTGCTCAGATTGCACATGGGCACAGGTATGCCTATGCATGAGGAAGGTGCCACAAAGCAGAGAATTTCATCCAAACCTGGCAATTTGCTGTAATCAATAGTGTATTTCCATGGTGCTAAAATCATAAAACTTCCTGACAGGAAAGAGTTGTCAGGGCGAGCTGGAAAATACAGTAGGCAGGAAGTTAGGGGACTCGATTTCTCATCTTGCTTCTTCCTGGAACTTCCTCTGCCAGATCATGCCTGGGCTGGTTCTTCATTCCAGTGTTAAGGTTCTGGGATTTTTTTTTTTTTTTTAAGAGACAGGGTCTCACTCTGTAGCCCCAGGCTGGAGTACAGTTGCACAGCCATGGCTCACTGCAGTCTTGACCTCCTGGGTTCAGGTGATCCTCCCACCTCAGTTTCCAGAGTAGCTGGGACTAGAGGTGCACACCACCACAGTTAGCTAATTTTTTTTTTTTTTTTTTTTTTTTTTTTTTTCAGAAATAGGGCTTTGCTCTATTGCCCAGACTGATCTTGAACTCCTGGGCTCAAGCAATCTGCCCACCTGGCTTCCCAAAAGGCCGAGATTACAGGTTTGAGCCAGTGTGCCCAGCCAGTTCTGTGATTCTAAGAAAGTTCCTGTACCCTCTCTGAAAAGACCCTGGTTGACCCATCCCAAGCAGCTAACTCATGGAACTTGAAAGGGGAAAATCCATTATTTTAGAAACCTGAAAGTAACTCTTGTGGGTGGCTCTTTTCTCCTCTAGCTCAGAAATATGTGCCCAGGGCCGCCCTGGTGGACTTAGAGCCAGGCACCATGGACAGCGTGCGCTCTGGGCCTTTCGGGCAGCTTTTCCGGCCTGACAACTTCATCTTTGGTATGTTCCATCTTTCTCACTTTCTTCTTTTTAAAAAAAAATCAGTTTATATGCCAGGTTTAAAGCATCATGTGTCATACAAAAACTGTGAATGGAAATCAACAGTCCCCAACCCCACCCCTCCCACTTCCAGCTGGGTTCATCACAAGGAACAGTTTTTTTAAAATCTTGACTTTTTTGGTAGGAAGCGACCTCTGTATCTCTAAATGAAATTCTTCTACTGATAGTTCTTGATTAAAAAGCAAAAACCATAAAAAGCAAAAACCAAGAAACAATTTTAGACATCAGTTTTTTTCTCCCCATCATTATAAAGTTATTTTGCCTTTTGTTTTTGGTTCCTATATTGGTTTTATCAGAATTAAGTGAATCCTTTTTTCCTTGCTTCTTCCACCTAAAAAATGATGGTAAAACCTATCTTTCTGAAGACTTCTAAAGAAAATTATATAAAATTAAATGAAGTGGTACATTAGTATTACCAAGTAGAACCTACAAGATAGGTGGCAGATTTGGAAGTTTCCTACGTGACTGTTTTAATGCTGGAGACCACATATCTATTTACATTATTGCAAAAAAAAAAAAAAAAAACCTCACCCAATCAAACCTATTTCCAATACCTGGGAAAGACAGTGTTTTCCAAGAAAATGTCAGAATTTGAAGGCTGATTCTAGCTTAAAGGCACTACAATGTAGGAATCAAATACATCATGAAAAATCTACATTCCAACCCCTTTCTCAAAAGGCCCCAACCAGGAAGAGATAGTTTAATTGAGGGTAACAGACTATCCCATTACCTAAACCATTCCAGAGAAAAAATGATGGAAAACTTCTAACATTTCCAATGAGGCTAGGTAGCTTCTACTAGAACATACAAGTGAAAGCTGTATATCAAACTCACTTAAAAATATAAATGCAAAAATCCAAAATAAAATATTTAGAATATCAAATGCAGTTGTGTTTTTAAAAAATATTAATAGCACATTGTGACCAAGTAAGACTGAGAGGCAGATAGTGTAATGGTTAGGAGTCTGGCTGTGCTGCCACACTCCCTGGGTTTAAATCTTGACCCTTCCACTCACTAGGTGGCCTTAGACTTATTTAACTTATTTGTGACTTAATTTCCTCATTGTGAGTGGGACTGTCTACCTCTTAGTGAGATATAAGGATTAAATAAATACTTAGAATGTCTAGTACAGAATAAGTGTTTGATAAATATTAGCAACATCCCAGGAATGCAAGGATGGTTCAACATTAAGAAGCCTACTAATAAAGACAACATGTTAATAGATGCCCCAAAAAGTGTTTTTATTTTCTGACTCCCAGCAGGAAACAATTTTTCTTCTTTTTGACAGAGTCTCACTCTGTCTCCAGGCTGGAGTGCAGTGGTGCAATCTTGGCTCACTGCAACTTCTGCCTTTAGCATTCAAGTGATTCTCCTGCCTCAGCCTCCCAAGTAGCTAGGTCTACAGGTGTGTGCCACTACACCTGGCTGTTTTTTGAATTTTTAATAGAGATGGGGTTTCACCATGTTGGCCAGGATGGTCTCAGTCTCTTGACCTCATGATCCACCCTACTCAGCCTCCCAAAGTACTAGGATTACAGGCGTGAGCCACTACGCCAGGCCAGGAAACAATTTTTTTTAAAAAGATAAAGTTTTGGATGTGTTCCTGATTTGCAGAAGACAAAAAATTTCTTTGTAAGTTGGAAGTAGAAAGAAACTTCCTTTATTTACAACTTATCTCCCAGAAACCCATGGCAACATTATACTGCCTGGTGAAACATTAGAAGTGTTCCCAGCAGAATTAGGTGTAAGAAACAAATGTCCATTTTCTCTATAATTATTCCATGTTCTGAAGGCTTTAGCCAGTGCATAAAAGCCAGAGAAAGAAAAGATGCAAATCATGTAAAGGAAAAGACAAAATTGTTATTTGTAGATGAAATTATTCTCTCGGAGTTTCCAGATAGGCTGTCAGCTGAAAAATAACTAGAACTTACCAGACTTCAGTAAGGCAGCCAGATACAAGATAAAAATATTTAGAAATTCATAGTTTCGCTATCGGGTGGCCAGTCCTTCTGATTAGCCTGGAACTGGGAGGAGGTGTTCCCCAGGACACGAGACTTTGCGTGCTAAAACTGTCAGGGTCCCAGGCAAACTGGAACAGAAGAATCACCTTAAAAGCAATAATCAGTTATAAGATAAATTGGGGACCACATCCTATTCACAATTGTAATAAAAGCTAGAAATACCTGGGGACAAAATTTCCTGGTGACTAGAGGTGAGAGGCAATTAAAACAAAAATTTTTTTTTCCCACCAGATTGGCCAGTATTTTAGAAGCTGCTAAGAGCTAGTGTTGGTGAAAGTGTTTGGGAAAATAACAGCTCTTCAGAGAACTACTTTTAATAGATTGAGCAAATCAATAATTTCCATCCAAGAGTTCCAGTTCAAGGAATCTGTTCTGCAGAAGTGCTCACACATAGAGGTTGCAGATTGGCCTCCAGAAGAGCTGAATCCATTTGCACGCCCACATTGGGTGTCTGAGAGCCCCTCTTGCCCTTATCACCACGACATGGTGTGTCATCCTTCAATTTGGAGGGACTGCTCTATGAGCACTGTAGTGGACCTGACTTGGATAACATTAATACTCTGTATTGTGAGGAAGGAAAAAGGATGACCCCATTTTATACAGATAAGCACTGAGTAACTCACTTACTCAGTAGGTATAGACTCAGCAGCCAGTTTCTTTCTGGACCACATTCCCAGGTCACAGAATTAACATAGCCAGGAAGACAGAGCACCACACCGGGAGAGGGAAACTGAGCAGCTGACCCTACCTCTGCCCGTTGGTGGCATCAGTTCCCTTCTCTGAGTGTCTTCACTTTACAGTCTGAAATGAAGGACCCCCAAGCTTCTTGGTGTCATAGACCTATGTAAGAATCTGCAGGAAGACATGGCCCTATCACCCTACCTCCTTGTAGAATTCTGCCCAGTCGTTTCCCCTTGAGGTTCAGTGGATTTTTGGTAAGAATCTGAGTGGACTGCTAAGATATCTTGAGTCAGAATTACAGTTGCCTGAGTCTGCCATAGTCTCAGCAAGCTTTACCAGACACAATTCATGTATTTCCAATTCAGGTATTGCCTCTTCTTAGATAGGCAATGTGTGCACATGGTGCGCAGCTGGAAAAGGCCACACAGTGAAAGCCTGCCTCCCTCACCGCCTGCCTCCCCCTGCGGGAGTGCTTCCTGAGATATGGAAACATTTCAAGCATATCTGTGAATTTTATAGATAAAGAAGATCTTAAAGTTTTACTTAAGTAAAATATATACCTTCTTCAAAGAAGGATGTGAAACAGCAGTGAAAGACAGGCATAAACGTAGCAGTTTAAACAGAGTCAACTGTGAGCTCAGCTGTGGCTGAGAATTAATTTTAGCTCTGAGTTTCTAGCAACTCAATCCAAAAAGGAAGCACAGCAGGTGACAGAGCTGACATTGTCTCATAAAGGGGAATATATCTTTTTAACGTACTTAAAAGGGAGATCTCCCTGCCATCCTGAATGACTTGTATTTATTTATTTCTGATTTTTACTTTGCTTTGCTTTTATTTTTCAGCAAAAACTAATATAACCACATTCTTACAGAGTTTAAAGCTAGAGTTAAAAAAAAAATTCCATACGCTCTTCATGTTGGTATAATCATTGTTAGCACTGAGGTATTTTTTTCACCTTTGTTTCTTTCTATTTACTGACTTTCATTAGTTGTAATCATGGTATCATTTATATCTTTTTCCATTGAACATTATATTATAAAACATATTTCATATTACTGTTTAGTTTCTAAAATACATAATTTTTAATAGCGCCATAATGTGCAATTAATTCTTTATGTAACTTTATAATGGGCAGTAATCAGGAAGCTGTTTCTTTCCAACTTTTTGCTCTTTTTTTTTTGAGACAGAGTTTTGCTCTGTCACCCAGGCTGGAGTGCAATGGTGCGATCTCGGCTCACCGCACCCTCCGCCTCCTGGGTTCCAGCAATTCTCCTGCCTCAGCCTCCTGAGTAACTGGGATTTCAGGAATGTGCCACCACTTCCGGCTAATTTTGTATTTTTAGTAGAAACAGGGTTTCTCCATGTCAGTCAGGCTGGTCTCAAACTCCCAACTTCAGGTGATCCGTGCGCCTTGGCCTCCCAAAGTGCTGGGATTACAGGCATGAGCCACCACACCTGGCCAACTTTTGCTCATAAAAGGAATATTGAGGCCAGGTGCAGTGACTCATGCCTGTAATCTCAGCACTTTGGGAGGACAAGGCGGGCAGATCATGAGGTCAAGAGATTGAGACCATCCTGGCCAACATGGTGAAAACCCATCTCTACTAAAAATACAGAAATTAGCTGGGCATGTGCATGCCTGAAGTCCCAGCTACTCAGGAGGCTGAGGCAGGAGAAGTGCTTGAACCCGGGAGGTGGAAGTTGCAGTGAGCCGAGATTGCGCCATTGCACTCCAGCCTGGCAATAGAGCGAGACTCCGTCTCAAAAAAAAAAAAGGAATATTGAGCATCTTCTTAAATTTGTATGTTCCTGACTGATTTCAGAATAGATTCTCTAAAAGCAAAATTACTGGGTCTAAGAGTGAGGAGATATAAGCCCTTTTTACACACTTCCAATTGGATTAATGTCACCAGCAGTGTCTGAGAGCACAGTTTTGCTGCACTTTTGCCTGAAATTAAACTTTTCAAAGAAATGCAGCAACTGAATGCTTATTTTGTGAGAGACTCAGGGCTTTATAAAAAAATGTAAGAACTGCTCTGAATTTGGCCTTCTACGCTGACATAAATTGTCATTGTGAAAAAGAGAAACCTGCACACCAGGACTCACACATAGAAAAACTGGAAGACAGGACATTAAAATGCATCTCAGTGCATGCTGCACTGTTCCCAGGGGAAGGGTGGCTGGCCGAAACTCACACCACACCCATTACTGCTTTTTGAGAGAAAATAGGAAAAAAAA